GGCTTAGGGTTTGGGGTTTGGGGTGAAAAGGCTGAGGATGAGCTCGGGGATGTAGCTTTAAGGAGTCAGGGTTAAGGGCAACTTGAAGGCTTTAAAATGCCTAGGCTTCTCTGATCTTGGCTTTTGTAGCTGGGCCCTGAAAGGCTCAAAACCCTTCGGGGAGCATTTGGACGCCAGGTCTTGTTCTGGTTGGGTTTAGACTTCTTTCAGGCAAAAGCTTTCTTGCGTATAACCCTAAACCCTAAACCCTAAAACCCTAAGTTTAGGGTCACAGTTCAGCAAAACGTTGCTGAAGAGTCCCAGCGTCGCTGGCAACCACCTCGAGAACTTCATGAACTCATCTCCTTTGCTGCATGTCCGACCTGTGGGCCCTGCATCCCACAAAGCCTCAAGCCCCTCGGCCTCGGATTCCAAACCCCTACATCAAAAAACCCTAAAGCCGCAACCCCAAAATCCTCAACCCGAAACCGCAAAACCCCAGATCCTAAACTCCAAATGCTAAACCTCAACCCCAAGCCCCAAATCCCAAAAAGACTTACCAAACCCTAGGACCGAACCTCAACAGCCTAAATGCCCAAATCCCGAATCCTAAACCCCAAACTAAAACTAGAGACTTCTCCTTCCAGTCGAGGCACTGCCTGCCCACAAATGAGCTTGTCGACTCAGATTCCTGCTGGGTCCATGGTTAATGGTGTTTATATATATATATATCTCTCTCTCTCTCTCTCTCGGTGTGTGTGTGTGTGCGTGGGTGCGTCTGTCTGCTCTTTTGTGAATGCATGCATATAACATGTATGCATATGTATGCCTATGCATATTAAGTATATGTGTGTGCATACACCTCTACGTGTATGTGATGTGTATGTATGTATGTATGTATGTATGTATGTATGTATGTATGCACGTGTATGTGTATGTGTATTTATGTGTGTATATATATATATATGTGTGTGTGTGTGTATGTGTGGATGTATATGTATGTATATACATATACATGTACATACACATGTACATATACATACACATATACATATACATAAATATATATATATTTATATATATTTATTTATATATTTATTTACTTATTTATTTATATACATATACACTCACAGATATATGTGTATATATATATATGTATATATTTATAATCATACTTATGTACAGATGTATCTGTCTTCATGGATATGTATGCATATTATGTAAGCATTTAGATAGGTGAGGCAATGAAATGTAGGTAGCTATATAGGTGGACAGATAGATAGATAGATAGATAGATACATACATACATAGACAGATAGGCAGACAGATAGCTGACAGACGGACGGACAGACAGACAGACAGACGGACGGACCGATGGAGAGATAGATAGATAGATAGATAGATAGGTAGATAGGTAGATAGATAGATAGATAGATAGAGAGATAAGCAGACGGATAAATAGATCAACCGGTCGATCGATTGACAGACGGATACCTGCTCATGTAGATCGATCTGCTTGTTTATATGTTGTGCTGCATTCATCTTGTTGGCTTTCATGCCCATGAGTTTAGCTGCTTCACAGGTCACATATGTCATATGATTTCGAGAGCCACAATACCACAACAGCCGTAGCTCAAGAGCTCATCAGCAGCTCTCTTGAAACGAAGCTCGCTGAGTACGAACGACACCGAAAGCTTCCTGCTGTGGAGGTCCTGATCGTGCTCACTACATCCGCCCACAAGCTCCGGGCAGTGCTAAAGCGCTCAGTCGCCGAGCTCACACGGGACCTTGTTGAGGGCAAATCTGCAACTAAACATCCGAGACAGAATTCACAAAGAGCGGTGTATCATCAATGCTTTCCGATCCTGGACAAAGGACTCCGACCGTGGCTTCTGAGATACGGTCCCACCTACAACAGTATCTCACAATACTGATCTGTACTCCTCTTCGTGCGGGTGCTACTAGCACCTCCACTACCCTAAATTGGAGCGCGTGTGCTCCCCCCTGAGCCCGAAACCCCTAAACCCGAAACGGTTTTGGAGCGTCCAGGCACAGAATCAGAAGACCCAGCCCAAGCGAGCAGAGGCCGAAGAGGGGCTCGGGAAGCCGGGCCGGGGCGCCTTGCGGTGGTCCGTGGGTGTTCACATCAGGCATGAGGTTGAGGGCGTGGGGTTTAGGTTTGGGATTTAAGTTTAGGCCAGGATTGGGTTCTGGTTTAAGGCTTGGGATTAGTTTTCGGGCTTAAGGCTCAGGATTAAAATATCGGGCTTAGCAGTACCTTCAAGTATAGGTTAGGACAGGTTCAACGGGATGTGGGAAGACTAGGTGTCCGAAACCAACTCTTTGGGAATCCCGCGCCACAATCCCGCGCCACAAGTCTGGGTATACCATAGCTATGCACCTAGGCATTAAAGAGAAACACTCTCTGACAGAATGTCCGGGCTCCTGAAGGTGCCAGGAAGAGGTTGTAGGCAAGAACTGCCTCGGAATGACTACACAGTACGACTTGTCTCTCTGGTTCTTAGTAGGGAATGGGGGAATGGATCCCAATGATGGGCCCTAAAGGCCCCCTACAGTATTCCCAAAAAACCCATTCCTCCATTCCCTACTAAGAACCAGTCAGTTGTGGAGGGAAAGGAGAGAAACTCTTCTCAGAACACCGGCAAGGACAGAACCCTTCAACGGCACAGCCGGAAGCTCGAGACTGGGTGTCTTCGGCACCTCGATCCTCGGCACCATGGCTGCACTCATCATCCTCATCATCCTCATCATTTAGGGTTTAGGGTTTAGGCATCAACAACATCATCATCATCATCATCGTCATCATCCTGGTTGCCATCGTGATGGTGACACTGATGGCAGGGATAGCCACACTGACCTGATCATTGTGATGTTGTGATGCTGAAGATGGAAATGATCAGATAAACCTGCATACAAGCCGCGGCCGCGATGTAGTTCAGGGAGGAAAGAGGTTTCTGGAGCCTTCGGCGGCGCTCGTGTAAGTCCGGCGGCCACTCAGCTGACCCCGGACAGAACCCTTAAACCCCAACTACCCTTTCAAACCATGAAAACCTCAAGACCTTCAAAACCAAAACCCCAAATCCCCATCAAAAAAAAAACATCTAGAAACCTAAAGCCCTCTCCCCGGGCCTCAGAAAGGTCTCCGACCGTCCCAGCAGTCGCCCCAGCCGGATCACGATGGAGTCCAGGCTCGAATCCTTCAAGTCCTCGAGGTACTTCGAGAAGGGTTACTAGGGTATAGGGTTTAGGGTTTAGGGCTTAGGGTTTAGGGTTTAGGGCTTAGGGTTTAGGGTTTAGGGTTTAGGGCTTGGGGCTTGGGGTTTAGGGTTTCGGGTTTAGGGTTCAGGGTTCCAGACCGTTACTGTCGGGTTCCAAACGGGTTACTATAAGGGCTTGTGGGTTTAGGGTCGAGGAGTCAGGGTTTTAGGGCTGCCGGGGTTTAGGAGGGTTTAGCGGGTCTTTGTTTGCAACGAGCGTTGATTCCAGTCGCTCTGGGGGTTTAGCTGTACGTGCTTAGGGGGCTTGGGGCTTTGAATCCTCGGAAAAGATCCTGATGCTGTTCTCACGAGCACAGGAGTCTCTTGAAGCCATAGAGGTAACACCAAGAGAAACCGTAAATCCTGAAGAGCCCTTGGAGGAACACCTGCAACCCGATAGAGCCCTCAAAGTACCCGAAACCCCAAAACCCCAAACCCTAAAACCCTAAGAAACCCTAAACCCCTAAA